AGATCCCTTCAGTTGAGCGACAGTGAATTAATTTTTCCCTTTTTGACAGTTTATTATCCTGCTGTCTGTGCAAGACAGGAGTGGCACACTCTTGTAGTCTAGGCATTTTCAAAGGCGCTTTGCCTTCAAAACAGCTGCTCAACCCATCCAGAAAGCGCCATCTGTGAGGCAGGACAAAAATCCTTGAGAAGAGATCCTGGTTGACTGAACACCTGCCTTGGTTATGGCTATATAGTCCCTCTATTTGGCAAACACAGCCTCACCTACTGCAGTGCTCTGACCCTGAATCAGTTTATTCAGGACTTCTTCCCATGTTGTGCAGCCAGCACACCTGAACTTTGCTATTATTTCATCTGATAAAGAGGGTACTCAAACTTCCGTAACAGAAAAAAAGAAGTGACCCAAACAACTGCATTAATTATGGTATAGACCCTTTATTAGTTCAACTTTTATACAAAGTGTACTTCAAAGTGATACAAATAGTGTTACTGCTTCTTTTACAGACCAGAGATTAAGATCTGTTAGGTACTGTTTTATCCTTTTTCTGTATATAAAGGTAGAAAATGTAAATAGGTTGGCAGTGAACCATAATGCTGGAAGACAGTTCAATGTTTGTTAATAGAAAGTTGCATAGAATTGTAGGTCTTTATAAAGGCATCTATCTACGTGGCAAGATCTCCCTGACCTACCATAATTCATCCGACAAGCAGTACGGGAGGAAGGCAAGGCTAGTACTGCTCCTTTGAAATACTATCCAGCACTTCTAAGTAAAATGGCTGCAGAAAAGCACCATGCAAGAAATATCCGAGAGGACAGCACATGGAAGATTTGATTTGCAAGGCTACCCATGTCTATAAATCTTAGCAAGTGTTTGCCGCCTGGGACCTACTAATACATTAAACTTCTTAAAAATGCCTAAGAACATTTGAGATAGATAAACACTTTTGGACAGTCAAAATACGTCACTAATTAGGTATTTTGCTTGATCATGTCATTCCATTCCCTCCTGTGCTGACGAGAAACTCTTGTATTTGTGTGCTACTAAATTAATTTATCTCATATGAGGCTGTTACTCCAGTACTAGAATCACACGAACTAAAACCTGCCACCTTAATGAGCAACTCCACCAAAATTCTCACTTGCCACTCCTGCATCTGACTCAGATGGATGCATCGTTCTCAGTCCCACACCCTTTGGTGAAACTCATCTGAACCTACAGGAAGCTTTCCCCAGAATTACTGTTCCCACCTTAAATAAAGTAATCCTGGCAGCAATGGTCCATACTGGCCAAGACCACCAGCAATTTTTTGCTTTGCGAGGAGCAGAGGAGAACAGTGAATGCAGTTTTAATGCTGAAGGGAACAGAGGAAACAGTATGTTGTCTTGCATTTGACCTCTCACGCGCAGAACTCAGTTTAAGGGAACTAGCTTACATGTGGCCTCTTGGGTCTTCAGAATAAATGTGTAAACATTGATTTTCTTTAAAAGACAAACTTAACACTTGCTTTAAAATAGTAATATCTTTAAATCCATCCTTAATGTTACTCTTTCTTGCCCAATTCAATGTATTAATTAATAAGGACTTGCTCAACTCCTTGTAATACCTTGTGTCTCATCTACTTAACAGCTTGCTCTCTCCAAGTTTCATTTGTGAATCTCCCAGGCTTGGTACTATCACATCTCGCACCCACTTAATTGTGGATGAAGGTTTACTCTCCGTTGAATTCTGCCGCTAGGTCAGCTGTGGTGCCACACGGCAGCAGTTTTCACTGGGGAGCCAGCTGGTGGCACAGGCTGGTGCAGCTGCACCGCCACTCTCGGGCTGAGGGAAGCCGGCCTGCACTTACCCTTTCCCTCCGCTCTCCCAGCTCCACAGTCTTCGCTCTCCCTCCTCTAGCTGCCATTAGCGGCAACTAAAAGTACAAGAACTGTTTGCAGGGCTACTGGCCCGTTTGAGGAACAGTTCCACTTGCTCTCAGCACAGTTCCACTTGTGAGGAAACGGAAGTGATTAATGTGTGATTTGGCATGAGAACAGTAATTCCAGTAATTCGGTGATGGAGCCCTCCTGTAATGCGCTTTTAGCAGTGTCTCTCATACAATCCTAAGACACGCTCATGACTAGGGAAGGAGCATTTTCAAGTGAATGCCTTCACTTACACCAAGTCTACTACAATATCGGGACCCTTAGTTTTTATAAAAAGGATCAACAGACTATTTGAAAGAAAGAAAAAAATCCCTTGCTTCTGCCGGCTGCTACTAAGAGCTGTGTAATACATGAGACTGGCAAAGCTAAAAGTAGACAAAATATTAACATAATGGGCTATTTAATTTCAGCCTAGTTAATTAAAAGACAGGTAAAATGATGACCACACTTCAGCATACACCACCCTGCGAGTGGTTCATTAGCAGAGGAGAATCTGAAGTGTGGAACAGTTACTAACACAAAGGAATGAGATTAAGCTTAAAGTAACTGGAGGGATCTGACGCTATTAGCTACTATGTGCCTGTTTAAAATATCTCTGCATGTGCTTCTTTGCTGCTAAAGGAAACCCAGGCTGACAGGTGATTCCAGCAGCTGGTGGGCCCAAAGTGTTGCCACATTTCAACGCTGGAAGTTCAGACTCTCCAGAGCTGGCACCGAGAAGCTACATAAATTGCACAGCACAAACTCCTTCCTTACCACCTAGGGTGCCTTTTCTCACACAGTTTCATGTCTCGTATGTCACTTAGGGGCTGGAGAGCAGACCAAATGCCAAGTAAATATTAAATAAAGCCTATTTCCTATACTAGAAGGAACATAGTCGTAAATAAGTCTAAACCAAACAAATGCAGAGATCCTGTTATGGAGAAAACACAGAGCTAATAACTTGCTGTTTTCTGTGGTCAGAACAGAAACGACTGGATGATCATTACTGCCCTCCGACCTGGGAAAGATGATCCAGCTCATCTGAGTTCTACAGGATTTTGGAGTAATTTTCTTCTTTCACATTAAGCAAAGTAGATAAAGTCACATCACAGAACCGCACAGTTACAGCACACAGAAAAGCACCGATTGATTCCAATAGCATGAAATCTGGTGTTGCCAAGAAGCTTCAAAATTAGTGTGAATGCTAAAATAGTCACACAGACCGCAGACAACAACAGCTTGCTCATTTAGAACACAAGGTAACAAAAGCATTCTTACTCTCTACCTACAGCTTTAATACGCACACCGATGTATGTCAGTTGACTGCTGAATGTTCAGTGTAAATGAAGGTCTTCCCAAATTACAGCTACTGTTCTACTCTTTCAGATTGTTACACACAGCTGCTTAAGAGATGTGCTATGTCATGAGTTGGTGAGACTGCTATAGTGACCTAAATACTGCCAATGATTCTAACTTAATCTAGAATATAAGGACTGAAAACAAGTAAGTATTTGGACATAACTCTTCCTATGAATGTTTTCTTTTAGGTAAAAAACCCCCAACATTTACAGAAGGGTTATTTCTGTCAGTTTTTAAATGCTCTACACCTGAACACGTGCACATCTGCTTCAGTGGTACTAAAGAAACATCAGTTTAGGAGGATTTATTAATGCCCAAAATTAAGACAGCTCTGACCGCAAGTCTTCATAATGCAGAGCACGTGCTGCCTCTCTCTTTGGTTGTGCTGTTAGCCATGAAAACATTGCTCCGAGTGACAGCAAGGCATGCACAGGAATTTCTAAATTATAAAACTAGCTTATTCGGATTGTGGCACCTGCACACATTTTCCTGAAAGTTCAAAACTGATTTAGCACACACTTTACATTCAGTAAACAGGAGGCCAGGTTTTTCCCCAGTTACTCCACTGAAGAGCTGCAACAGATAGAATATGGCTTAGCTGTACCACTGAAAACAACACAAATAGGCTGTGCGGGAAGTTTATAGGAAAGTCTTTGAGCTGTACAGATTTCTCATGCAGTCCTTACAGACAAACACCTTCTTGATTCAGTATTTGTGGGTCTGTTAAAAAAATCCTTGCTCTTACACAACTGCAAACTTGAGTACTAATAAAGATGTCCAAAGTCCAAGGGACTGAGCAAGTGTTTATCTGTTGTGGATATTAATGTTCAAGTAGCCTTAAACCTGCCAAAAGAAAACTAAGAATACTCTAGGTATTTATATATGCTTTAACATTACTGAGTACTGAATGGGCTGGTCTTGACCTTAAAGGACCCTGTAGAAATAGTTGATACTTTCACATGTAAAAGCTCCAAATTTTTAAATGACACACAGATCCCCTCCCATGAACTCCAAGTTGCTCACACATCTATTTGTAATGTTTTGGATGACACTGTTACCTTGAGCTTTGGTATTAGTCTCTTATGAGTGTATCAGCCTGGGAAATTAGAGAAGCTCTAAAATAAAAGTCAGCCTCACCTGAAACTGTTACATAGCAGTAGAATTACAATTTAAAGTGCTTTCTTTCCACCTTTGAAACATACCTTCTACAGACTATAAACAAACAAAATCTATTTCTACTACTGACTTACTAATTCTATTACTGACTTTTCCCAAAATTAAGTACACCCCAAATATCATTACTGATGATCACATTTTCTTTCTGTTTCAAGTATAAGCATAAACTAGACCTAAATGGACTGTAATGGAATAGGAAGGAAATAACCTTTTAAGTATTTTTCACTTCAAAAGGCTCTAGCTTGCAGGCCTGGAAAGACTCCTGTAAATGATGCACTGATGAGATAACAAACCAAGTCTCCTTCTCCCTTGTTTTTATAAAAACGTTAGCTAAAACCGTATTTGCCATTACTGGTTTTAATGCCCAGTGTTCCCTAAGAGAAAATTCACCCATTTGTTTTTATCCCCCAAGAGGAAATAAAGTATTAATCTACATTTTAGAAGAAAACAAGTAAATCAGGAATGACATAAAGTTTACCAATCATTCACAGAAAGTAGAAAAGTTTGCCAGATGGTCACAGAAATTGGAAAAAAATTCTTTTTGAGCTTACTTCTGTTTAGATAACTGTAACTTCCCTAGGTTTTCGTTTTACACTCTCTAGTCGTGTCAGAGGGCGGAAATTTGTTAACTTCCTGCTTCCTTCTGTAGTAGTCAATCGACAGTCCTTCTGCAGCCCCCTCAGCAGCTCCGTTAGTTCCCGTTTTTCCAGCTCTGCCTGCTCCAGCTCTTGACGGTGCTGTCTCTCCGCAGCCATCAGAGAGCGTACATCTGACATCATTCGTGACATCTGACTCTGAAACGCAAATACAAATTCACTGCAAGAAACAAACTCTTTTGTAACGATGGTGGCATGGAGTCAAATTGGCCATGCATGTAGGGTGATGTATTACAAAGAGTAAGCAACACTGAAATAATTTCTTGATAGTGCAGCCAGTGTAAACAATTTGAGACACAATCCGGCGTTCGCCTTCTGAGACGGTCTTGTTTCAAAGGCTCCAATAGTGTTTTCCTAAAAGTGCAAAATGTTTCTTATAAAGTACAGTAAGAAACAGTGGATTTACCCCGTTGCTGCTTACATTTTCTATTTCAAGACCCCAACCAAAATAAGGTTTTGTTTATGTTCAGGTACATTCTTCAAGGATTTCACATCAAATCCAGTAAAAATAAAAATGTAAACTACAAAGCACACCCATTGCTTTGGCTTTAAAAATCACTGTTCTGTGATGTAAGAAGAACAGGATGAATGAAAAGACAAGACGCACTTGCTTGTTACTTGATTAAGTTTTACAGTGCAACTCTCCAAGCTTTTGACTACAGCTGAACAGTAGCGTAAGCACCACTGTCTGCGGTAGGGCTGTGTCAGCCCTTGATTAAGCCACTTTGGATAGCACTAAAAAAGGAGCTGGGTATTTAATTACACCCAATTTGTGATGCATGCCCTATGTTTATAGACACTGGAAATGAGTTTCAGACTGATTTGCCAACATGATATGCCTGCACAGAACAATGCAGTCCTCGCACAGGGGTACCCAGGTTAGCTCCAAATGAATTTGAAGTAGATAAACCACATGAATGCAGCACTCAGCCTGCTTCTCAACAGAGCTGATTAGTCTGGCAAACCATCGAGCTAACACCTGTTTTGCTTCCCATACTTAATGTAACTCTCATCTGTATGAGACCACACTTACAAAATAAGAGACCGCTACTGGGAAAAGCAAAAAACTAGACTGTTAGGAGAGGAAAAAAAAAGTTATCATATTTACCTTTAGTTCTTCAATTTCATTTTGCAGAATACTCTCTTTTTGGACCATATGCCTTCTCTGTGAATCTAACCTTGACTCCATCTCATGTTTTGCCTCCTCCACTCTGCAGATCATTTCTGACCTAAAAAGTTTATTTCTCCTTGTTAAGTCTGGTAAGCACAGAAAAAACAGTATTTTCAAGTTCCAGAAAACCTTCTTGCAGCGAAACAGCCTGATCTGATACCCATCATACTATACAGGACACCCCTCTAGAGGCAGGACAGTACTATTTATTAATGTAAATAAAACTAGCATTAAAAAGTGCATTGTGCCTAGGGAGCACCAAAGTGACCCTGCACAGCCTATGTAAGGGACCACGGTATCATATTCCTGAAGTAATCCTATGTGCTCAAGAGCATCTATTTATGATTTAAATGCTTTACTGCTTTTCACCTACAGTATATGCTTGCTTAGTATTACTAAACACATGCAGTCAAGATAAAAAGTGTGAATGCTGTAGTATTGCTAAACATGTAATCTTGTCACTCTCATGCTGGACACTAAATGACAGTACGCAGTAAACTATGACAACCTAACCGTTCCCACAGCTTCACAGCCAAAAACTACCTTACCCTTTCGAGTTCAGAAACCAGGTAGGAGAAGCCCTTGTGTCTCAATGCATTTAAACCAGGTTTGAGCCTGGCTTCGCAGCAATGTTCAAGAGCACAAGACGTGGTGAGTTGAAAGACAGAAATGGGAAGGAGAATGGGCGTAGGGAAAAAAAAAAGTCCAACTGGAGTATCATGGAAAGGGAAAGCTACAGAAACACATATAACAGGAGAAAGAGGATGCTGGTAAGAAGAGTCACATTCACCAACTGTTATTAATCTGCCAGGATTTTAATAAAAATTGAAAATCAGATCCTCGGAGGTTTAATCTATCAGTCTGTACCTGCCAAAATAATTAGAGATTTTTATCTTCTGGATCTGTAAAAATATAGACTAAATATAATTATTAAATCATGTGACTTTGGGTCTATAACAGGCCAACGGAAAAATGAAATTGTCAACTTCAGTTTTCTTAGGTATTCTGTCATTTTACATAGTCAACTCACAGTTTTGTTCAACTGCAGGCAATGATATTTTAGGATTTATAACAACTTGGACAAAAAATCTAACAGCAAAAGAATCAAAACAGTAAGAATTTAAAGCCTATGCTGACTAATAATACTCTGGCCCATTAGTATTAAGTAATTGATGGACTATTTAACACATACCAGAATCCAGTGCTAGTATTTGAAGTGCCTTATGCAGTGATTTTAGGCCCAGACTAACACAAGCATTAAAGAAACAGAAGATTTGTACCGAAGTAGTTCTAGCTCGGTTCTTAGCTCTGCTACACAATTATGCTGTGTGTCTTCTGCACTGAGAATGGTGTAACCACAACCATTGGGGCATTCGCGGCTCCGATATTCACACACTGCCAGGTGACCATCTAAGTTACGTCGTTCAATCTGAACTGTACAACCTGAACAGGAACAGTAAGGTAGGCCAGCTGTTTACAACTAACAAAAGCATTTTAATTAATTCCAAACAAAAACACTCAAGCAAGCAAGATGAAATATCCCGAGCTAAGCAACTGTCAATCTGTTAAAGCATGAAAAAAAGTAATTTCTTTAGAACATGAAATATGACAGTTATAACACACAAAACTAGTAATAAAACACTCTTAAAAAGTCTTATTAAAATATTTTTTCATTAATTTGAAAATACTGAAAAACTGGAAGTAGGTATTTTCTGTAAAGCCTTCTACTGTTGCTCAAGCGTTAAAGCAACTTCAGTAACCACAGTGCGGATGCCAAGCTAAGACCCCAGCAGCTTGCCTGTGGCTGGAATTGATTTAGAATGCACATGTGTAAAAACAATTACGTTATCAAATTTAGGAAAAAAAGGTCCAAAGACACATAGTAAGAGAGATGTGGGCCAGATGGAATGTAACCTTGTCTTCCTGACATGTGGTTGGTCTTGTGTATAAAATACTAGACCACGTAAATAAACAAGAATGTTTATTGATGAACATCTAATAACTGATGCAAAACTAGAACATTTCCACAGAAATTCTAGGATACAAACTTTACAAATCTGTAGTGATTAAAAGTAAAACGTAGAGAACCAAAAATGAACACTATATAAATTACTGCTACATTTAACACTCTGAACTTCAAGTTTGTAGTCTTAATGTTTAAGCTTTGAGGCGCTGTTTGCTGTAATACATACTTGCATTAAATTTGAAGATAAAATTGATGTAAGAAAACTGAAACAATGAAGCAATGAAACTTGCCAACCAACCACATCAGAAAATTACAAAAGACAGCCCTCCAGAAGAGCTTTACTAACAAATAAAACAATTTGTAACTGAGGTACTCAAAATACACTCCAATGTATTCTTGAGAAAGAGTTCAAGGGATGCAAGAGCCCTCACACCCTGATCACCAGACATCAGAGAGGTGGCGTGGGAACCCTATAAATGCTACCATTTCCGCAGAAAGTGAAACAGGTGAATCTGAAGCATCCGCAGGAGTCAGTTAACTGCTGAAATTATAACTTCCAGTGGAGCAATTCTAGCACCTTAATCTTCTTACAATTAATTACAATGGCAGACTTGACTACACCTTTAGCATCATTAATCAGAAATGAACTTTGCCTAGGAACATACAGCATTTTGAATAAAATCGGCTGGGAAATTTTAAAAGTACGTTCCCTTTTAGCAGCATGTTTCTTCATCAGGAGGTGGAGGTTTGTTTTGAATGAAAACCTTAACATGAACCTAACAATTCTAATCAGAATTTAGCTTAAAACAATTCTTATTTCCAAGATACGTTTTTGTTAAAACCAGGAGACAGTGAGCGGATGCACAGGTACCAGGCAACCAGCTGTTTGATAAACAAACTGCGACCCCCTAAGAGTTCCGTAGATGCTATTACACTGATTCCAACATCAAAACAAGCAGTCAAAATTGAAAGACAAACTCATAACTTGACAGAAAGCAAAACAAATGCACTACTGTATTTTCCTAAATTTGAAGTCATAGTCACTCATTTTGGTTAGTTCTTGGATAAGAAATTGTTGCTAATGATCATGATTGCCTTATACTGGTAATACATTTGGGTCAACAACATTGCTGTAAAGTGTGGATCATGCCAAAGCTTCGATTTTCTGTTTGGAAAGATCGGCCATGATTGCCATTCTGTTGACAGATGACAAACATATGTTTTCTGAATATAAAGGATTCAGCTTCTCTGAACATTACTCACCGGCATTGGAGCAAGGTATCTGACTGTATTCACACTCCCGTTCATGCCTGTCTATAGACTCCAGAGAACAAACCATTTCACAGCCATACTCTCTGTTTTTGCAATGCAGCTGAAGACGGTTTAAATCATTTTTCATATATCTACACACGAAAAAAAATAATTTGTTCTTAAATCTGGGAACATTATTAAAAAAAAATGTATTTTCAACTTTTGGGAAAAAAAAGTAAGATTCCAATCTGCCTCAGGAAAAACTGTGAACAATCAATTAAAATTTTTTTTTCTTGGAATTTAAGGGACCATATTGAAAAAGAACAGGCTTAAAACAATGTTAATGGAAAATTCAGTCTCCAAAATTAAATGTGCTAATGAAATCTTTATTTTTGAATAAATTTTTTACTGTGACCTTTCACTAGCTCAGCAGATATTACAAATAACAATCACTCGGGCTACTCGTTCATCATTTGTGTTTCTAAACATGCCAAACCAAACTGACTCCAGTGAGTACAGACAAAACAATCTATAAATTAAACGCTAGGGTTCTGTCTACAGTATACTTCAACTTCCCAGGCAGTAAAACCTCAATGACAACAATACTGGGAGTACTAATGGAGTTAATTTAACATTTGTGGCTGAAGGTTTTAAACACAACATAGCTGTTAATCTGAGGAAGACTAGACAATGCAGGGGTTCAACACCAAGCAGTGTCTACTGATGAAACTGTGTGTTGGCAATGGCAGGAGTTAGTAGCATGGAACAGAATGGAAAAGTTCTGTCCGAAAGGACCCATAATGACCACCTTGTCCAACTGCCTGACCAAGTGTGGAAGACACTTGTGAAAACAGCCTGCTTACATGACAAGGTGGCTCATAACAGATAGTCTTACGGCTAAAGACCTTTTAAAAAAGGATTTAAAGGCGAGAAGTTTGGTTCTTATCTGCAGGAATTATTCATTACAAACCCCAGTACAGTATCTAGGTAAGACTCAAAAGAAAAACAAAAGATATATAGTGTTTAGTGACTGTTGTCAAGAGTTGCTTTGCCTGCTTTCTCTAAAACATTATGTGAAAGTTTTGATGCTCTAGAAGAAATTCAGAATAATATCCAGACAGATAGCTAGGATCAGCATTCAAGATATAAAATGGTGGAGAACAAACTAACTGTTCTTTCCATTTTGAAATTTTAATACCTTGAAAGTTTATTATAAATGGAAAGTGCTAATGCTTTCACGCAAGTGACTGATTTCTGCCATAGGCATATTGGATAAAGACAATTTGAGTGGCAGTAATGACAAGAGATGAAGCTGTGCAAGCAAAGTTGAGAAATCCTAAATTCATGTAATTTCAACATACAGCAGCATTATTGTATACCTGTAGAGAGGTCGTAGCAAAGATACATCAATCATTTGTCTGTCTTCAGGGCAGTTACTGTGATGAACAAGCCATCCATGTATACAAGCAGCACAGAAAGCGTGTTCACAAGGAGCCTGTAATGGATCTTCTAACACATCACGGCAGATGGAGCATAATAGCCCGTCATTGACGTAACCGACGAAACGCTCAATATCGTAACCCATAATCTCCACACACTTTCAACCTAATAAAACAACACAGAGAAATAAAGCAGTCTTTGTCCTGAATCTGTGTGGTTAGATCCACAAAAAGGCCTCGAAGCAATTCTAGAAATATAAAGAACTTACTGTGACTAAAAGAGTGAGAATACAAACACTTGCACAGTTTGGAGGCTTTAAAATTTAAGTGAAAATTTGAGGACTGTACTGCTGGATGTCAGAATCCTGATTTTCTGTCAAGATCCTCTGAATTCTGAAAGCAGAGACTTTAGCATACAGTTGAGCTGCACCTGTTTTGAACTGTTACTGAACACAGTTCTAGCAGACACTGTGAAACATATAGTTTCTATTTACTTGAATTCTACCTGAAGCAGAAACATCATAGAAGTTGAAATACAAATGTTTGCTTTCCATTTTAATGCCTTTTACATAATGCCTAACAAACTTACAAAACAGTGTCCTTACAGACAGTAGCTGTGGCACTTTTAGCTAGCAGATTTTGTACTTACAAACTGCACATCACTTAATGTGTTGCTTTCATACTGAAAAAAAAGAGCTAAGATTCTCTGCTCACTGTAGACTTCCATTCCAGAGGGAACAGCATGAAATCTCCACATGCCTACAGAAATACTTAATACTCAGAAAGCAAATGAAGCCAAAACTGCAGCTAACCCAGAAATTATGAGGAGCTACTGTCTTCTCCTACTTCTCTATTGTATAAAATCAAGCAGCTTTTAAATGGATTTGAAAGCTTTGTGAAAAAGAACTAACAGGCAATCAGCTTTCATCAAAATCCTATCATGAAAAGCCTAGTAGAATTTGGTAAGACTCCAGAGAACTCACTTAAAAGAATATGTTTTAGGCTTCACATTCCTCCTTAACATACAAAATTACTTTTGCAATCCCACTGAGACTTGTGAAGAGGTTTTCATTAGTTATGAGGTTTTACAAATTAAACAGAAAAGGACAATATCCTACCTTTTTAGATTTTACTACATATATATGTAGTTTGTCCAAATACTTCAGAAACAGTTTTCTGACCAGTAAGATATGTAATAGTTCCTTCCTTCAGTTTTCCTTCACTGCTTTATTATACCTATGAGAAAAATTAGAAAGAAAAAGGCTCAGTGGTGTCTCCTAAGTTACCGAGTCCTACGTCTAACCAGCTAGCTGCTGAATAGATACTGTCCTAACAGACCACTAAAACAAAACTTTCCAAAGCAAGCCACTGTAAAACATACAATTCAACACAAGAGAGATCAGGGGGAAGAAAAGACTCATCAATCTCTTTCACTTATTACTGATGCAGATACTTATAACAAAACTGATCACCATTTAATTTTGAAGCCTTACATCTTTGTAAGACTGAAGACAACAGAGTTCATTATTACTGAAAAATAGCAACTGATAAAATTATATTCCTTAAAAAGATGAAAGTTTCTTATCTAACCCTGGTTTTATCTGGGCATGATATGCAGTTCATTTTTAAAACAAAACTACCACAGTCAAGTTCATTGTATCGACAAATACCATTGCTTTGATGTGTAGCATAACTAAGATTGCTCACTTAAAACAAAAAATTAAAAAGGACGTCATGACTCCAACCCCTTAAGTTGGTATCTACCAACTGCAACATGACATTCAAAGAGATCTCAATCTGAATTAGAACTGTGTAAGAATCTCTAAGGACTGATGTCAAATTTTGCTCTAAATGGGAAAAAACTCCGCAATTCACCTTCATGAATACAATATAAATCTGAAATTTAGATCTTGTATATCCGAGTATCAAAGTGTATTTTCACTGATTACGAAAGGTGCTTGTGTTAAAAGGGTGTTTGCTACGATTAAAGTTAATAAAAGCTGTAATGGAAGCATACAGAACACAAGCAAGGCCACATTACCCAAATACAAAGCACATCATCTGCCACGCAGTTTCCGTATTGTGTTTTGTTTCTACTGGCACATTTATCGCACACGCAGCCAACACCAGGGCTTGCAGGGGTGCTTGAGCTGGCTTTAGGTTAGCTGGGACACCTACTGGCCGGGTCACCTAGTGACAGCGTTGCCACAGCAGCGGGGAGTGCAATCCACACCGACTCCTGACAAGGGCTCAGGCAGATTTCAAAGGCTGCATTTAGCCTTGTGCTTCTGCGGCCACATTGTCATCAACACCACGGTGAAACTATGGTGACAGGTACCTGGGATATGCTATTCCTTCGGCCACCGCATGGACACTCTAGGTCTTAAAAGAGTCTGCTCCAGAAAATACCATATTATGGAGGTGACAAACAATTGTTTTTACACTTGTTTCCTTGTATGTTTTTACAGATCTCATGCAGCCCGGGAATTCAGGACTTTGCTAGTTCAGCGTGAACAAAATGAGCATTAAGTTGGCACAAAGCTGTGCTGTAAGACAGCAAGGACCACAATGGGAAGTTACAAAAGTGGAGAACAATGTTAATTACCAGTAGCAGAATGTGAAGTCAAGTACTAGTTTCCAGTACTGATGAAAACATTGAAACACAGAGTATGTTTATGCCGGAGGACTGTTAAACAGCACATATACATCCTATAGTTTGAATTGTGAGCCTAAAATTTTGATTTGGCTTAGTGGATCCCCGAGGACTCAGCCTTTAGAAAACTTTCACAGAGATGTAAGCCAAGTCAACAAAACTGTGAGTATTTTTGCTGTCCTAGTTTCTGCTCTACTGGAATTGCAGATGCTGTAAGCTACATTTTGCACATCTTGCTGATCCCTCTGAGCACTAAGTCTTCAAGACACTCTTTGGTATATTTTAACAAGTTTGAAGTCTATCAGAATGCAGGAAAGAGTATTTTTATCAAGTGGGAAACAAAAAATTTATTTGTGCTTGACAGAAAAATGAAGTGCAACAAGTGTATATATACATATGAAGCCCCAACAAAAAACAGAGCTCAAACGGAGAGTGGATGGGAACTTCGAGGCAAAAAAATACAATCAAGGGGACTTCTGATGAGAATTTCAGAATGTTTTCAAGACTGATGTTGGAGCAGCACCATCCCACACAGTGCCAGAATCCTTGTGGCTTTGAGTCTTGAGATCTATGACAACATCTGTCACTGAAGTCCCAGACCTCCTCTGGTAGAAATTTCCTGACCTGAAGAACCAGAGATGTTTTATCTTCTGCCAACTCCAAGAGATGCACTTTAGTCAACAGGTAAGCAGAGGGAGGGCATCACATGAATGCCATGTGCTCTAGCAGTACAGATCACTTTACTCAGTATTTCCACCACAAAATGACATAATTTTGGACTTCTGTGCTTCCTCAGAAACTTCTCTCTTCTCAACTTGGCCTCAAAACCTCTTCTTCTATTTCTATCACAATTCACCAATTGTCATGCTCTTTTTTTGTTTACAGCTAGAAACCACGTAATTTATCATTGCCTTCCCACACCCCACTAACATTTCCAAACCTTGCCTTGTGTTTGGTTTCTCTGGTCCGGAATTTTGCCCATAACCAGCGACACTGTCCACAAGGATATCTAGAATTTGTAGGTGCCAAATCTGGAAGGCAGAAAACCCACAAACTATTACATGCTCTCCCCATGGTTTTTGACAAAGCAAAAATCTCCTCCAAACTTCAGAGATACTTGCTGTCATCCCACTTTGTTTGCCAGGCAGATGCACACCTAAAACCAGCCTTGAGCTATGTACTGCGCTGTGTGGATGTAACAGCAGAGAGAATATGGATGGGAAGTAGCTCCCAACAGCATAATCGCACAGGTTGCTAAATGTCTGGCACTAATCAAAGCTATTCCATTCTAAAAATCAGGACACTGAGGTCAGATTAGTAACTGCGTTTTTTTTGTCTGTAGTTTTTCCCTGATTTTGAAAAACTGTTTCTTTTCCACGTGACAAAACAAAGCATAACTGTTTGAAAGGCTGGACTGAGTCACAACAGAACTACAGATGTGCATCACTACGCATTTTCAGAAGTGCTATGTGGCTGGAAGAACAATCCATGCAGTACCCAGGGATGAGGTGACATTAAAATACAATATTGCTTCAGCTTCTATTTTCACAAAGGTACCCTGTGCTTTCAATCCTGCTATATAGAAGCAATGTTTTAGGGTGTCTTATGCCACTTGGCCACAGTCACTGTAAGCCACTTCAAGCCAGAATTAATGCCCAAAGAGGCAGGCTCACCCCTTCAACTGTGACAGTACAAGCTGTTTCTACAGCCACCTGATGTACATAACTGACCTGTTTTAAGACCCAATTGGAAAAAAATAAAAAAAGTTTTAACTTCAACTGTTATTCTACAGTAGCCCAAGCCAATCTAGCCACTAATTCATGTTCTCCCAGCCTCTCTCTACTTCCTCCCTTCAATCAGTTAGAATGTTTAATTCGACCCTTTCCTGAACTGGCTCAGACAATTAAATGTACAGACAACTACTCACTGACTTGCTAGGCTAGATTTTATTGTAGACGGCTCAGCAAAAACTCCAGTGACTGTGGAAGTGGGGCAAGACAGGGGATAAGAAACCACAGGCAGGGCAGAAAGGAAAGAAAGACAACAGTTAAGGCTGCTACAGAGCTACTCCCTCAGCTCAGCTCTCCAGACTGGTACATCGTGGAGTCTCATTAACACTCGTGCAAGAGAAAGGGAACAGAAGAGGGTAAGAATGAATGGATTGCAATACCAGCTTACACTGATTTAGAAAACTGACTCAGTCAACAAAAGCTTCTATAACAACCAGTACAAGACACACAATTAATGTAAGGCCTCTACTGGGAACTACCTAAGAAACTGGAACTACTTTGACAATGAACACCTGCTGTCCCGGTGCAAAACCTACTCAAAACAAGGCAACACAAGATATGCATCTCGCAGACCAACTTTTAGGCTTTGAAGGGCTGTATTCTGCTGCACCGAGGCAAGACCAAGGACAGAATAGCTCTCCTCAGAGGCTCTGGGGGTGGGGGGCGGCTCTGCACAGGTAGGAGGAAGGCCTCTGGGTCATGCCTGGGTAGGCTCTTCAGGAACGGTCAACGATCTTGGTCACATAGAACAAAACTGGCCTGGAAACACCTGGAGCAGCAACGTAACGCCAAGCAACCGCACCTGAGTGGGCTCAGACAATCGACACGCACTTACCGTTACCTTCTCAACAGGACGGCAAAGCCACCACCAGCCCGGCACAGGGGCCCAAAGTGCAAGCGCCAGGCCCG